AAAAAAAAAAAAAAAAAAAAGAAAAGAAAAAAGAAAAAAGAAAGAAAGAAAGAAAGAAACAGAGGAAGACGTTAAAGAATCCCTTTGACCACAGAATAAAGGATGATTGAAAAGGAATGAGTATCTCCAAGGACCAGAAATGTCAGCGGTTAGCTCAGTAGGTAGGGCTAGCCTGGCAAGTTCATACTTGAGTTTGATCCTCAGAACCCACATCAAAGTGCTAGATCTGCTGGTGTGCTCTTGTAATCCCAGAGTGGAGGAGACAGAAACTAGGGAGTCCTCGGGGCTCACTGGACTGCCACCCTAGCCTACCCTGGGAACTCCAGGCCAATGAGAGGTCTTCTCAAAGGAGGTGGGTGGCTTTCCTGGGGATAACAACTGAGGTTTTTCCCTGACCTCCACGTGTGCCCTCGCACCATAAACATGCACACACACTTAAAAACATGTCAGGAAGAGCATGCAAATCTAAAGTGGCACGGAAGTTTGAGGAACAGGCCAGGGGAAGTCAGGGGAAGGAGGTGGAAGACCTCCACCATGAACACAGGACAGTAGATAGACCCACCAATTCTGACTGGGTGCCCGGCCCCAGAAGTGTAGTTTAAGGACCCTGTGGTCTTTGGGGCTTCTCAGAGCCATCTGGCATCCTTGAGTCGTGACTTGCTCTGTGAGTGAGAGTGGAGTTTCTTGTCTTTGGAGGTCATCTGACTGTTTTTGTCACATGGTCAGATGGTGTCTGTATGACAGGAAGTCAAATCATGTTTTTAATGGCATAATGAAGTGATGAGAAGTGTAGAGTTACTGGTCAGATTTTAACTGACCTCAGAAATCAATTTGAAGGGGGGCTTTTGTCTCAAGGTGGAGTCTGTAGGCAGGAGAAGGTCACAGTAGGAGTCAAGATTTGTGGTCAGGCCTGCACTGAGCTTGTGAACTCATTTACACGAAGATCTGGCGTTTTCACTCACCACTCGGAACTTTGGCTTCCTTAGCTCTAAGATGCTGTCTGTAGTGTTTGTTCTACCCCAGATTCTTACAAGGACCAAAGTAAGTGATGGCTTGTTTAAGTTAATGCTTTGTTCTTCTCTAGCGGCAGGGATGTCTTGTGAGGTTTTAGCCCTTCCGCCCCCAGCCTCTAGCATTATTGCGTAGAGCAGGCACTTGATAAATTATATTACTTTGCACGCGGCTTGTCGGTTATGCACAAGGCTCTGAGTTGGATCCCAGCACTGCATAAATCGGTGTAGTGGCACATGCCTATAATGCCGGCACTTTGGTGATGGAGGCAGGAGGATCAGAAGTTCAAGATCGTCTTTGGTTACATAGTAAATTTGAGGCCAGACCGAAATGTATGAGACATTGTCTCAATTTTAAAAAAATGTTAAACTGTGTTGCTCTTTAAGCAAGCCACT